GTGTTGCATCTGGACATTCATATCACTGTGCTCCATGCTCAAATATGACTAAAGATGGCTTGTTCCCTACTCTGTTTCATACCATCAGCAGGGCAGGTAAGTAATCTGACAGAGGATGTAAAAGCATCGCTTCCACCAATAAGCAGCTGTGTTAGGTCTCAGTAATATAGCTTTGTGCCTTGGGCAAATCCCTTAATAGTTCTAAGCCTGAGGGTTTTTTTAATCTGTAAAAGGAATGGCTTTGATAGAGAACCTCTACTGCTCCTTTAAATATGATTATTCTAGCTCTATAATTATCCCTGTGTAACTCACTACACCACACGTAACATACAAATGGCATGCATCAACAAGCCCTTACTTCATTTCCTGACATCTCCTCCACCTACTCTTTCATCACAAAGCCAGTGGTGACAACAAATTGGGCAAGATTCCAGACTCCAATGTGTAGCTCTCAAAGCCAGATTCAGTGACAATTGTATGTGTGCATTTAGTGGGTCAAAAGGAAATACTCTAATACTGTGCCTTTCACCCATGGAAAAGACATTTCTTCTAGAGGTTAAATTCTCAGATCCAGGTTAAAAATCTCAGCAGGGGCCTTGGGAAAATGCTGAGAAGACTGATGCCAGTAGATCTTTCAGGAATCATTTATCAGTGGTTGTAAAACAGTGTATGTGTATACATAGGAAACGCCACTCTCCTCTAAGCTTATAAGTTTATAATACACAGCTTTGGTGGCCCCATTATGCTCTCATAAATATAGAAAAAGAAAATGATTATGTGAGGTGAGGGGAGAATAGAAATATAGGAACCTGGTGGCTCCAGATCTTATGACTAAGAACACTCATTAAATCTGAGGAGTCTGCCCAACTGGATGGACCCAGATTAACCTGACAACACTGCCTAAGCCTTGGGTTCCTGGCAGCCCAGAGGAAAGGAGATGAAACCAACCATTGAGAAGAGGGGATGAGAGCCTCCATGAATGCAAACCGCTCTACCCAGACCAAGCCTTATGCCATAACTTGCCAAGAAGTCTTGGACTACTATTCTCCTAACCTTTAACACAAAGTGATTTCCAAAGAAAAGGGCCATGGACTTTTTCTGATAATAGGTCCAAGTCACCAAAGATAGAGAATTTGACTTTTTAAAAAAGCTAATATATTATTCTTTTCTGTCATATCTCTACCTAACTATCCAACAGGCTCCCAGGGAATTTAAATTTCAAATATTTCCAAAAAGGAAATTAAGTCTAGATTCAAGTGTTGGCAGTGAATTTTGAGAATGTGGTATGCCTACTAATACTCACTTTCACACTATCCCTAAAACTCCGAAAGATAGAAAAGATGACATGTTGTTAAGGATGAGCACAGTAGACCTGAGGTAAAGTCACATGGTAGCAGCTGAAATCAATTCAGTTACCAACAGTGACAGAAGATGCAAGCAACAGGAGAGCGTGAAAGAACATCTGACCCTGCATATGGAGACTAGGAGTCTAGTCCTAGTTATACCTAATTCAATCTGTGAGCTTGGACAAGTCCCTTCGCTTTTGGGCTTGGGTCCCCATCTATAAAATGCAACCTATTTAAGTAGAGCAGGGGTGTGCAAACTCTTTTAAGGCAATGAACATTTTGTTCATTTAAAATCATCCAGCCAGGCATGGTGGCACACGCCTATAATCCTAGCACTTTGGGAGGCCAAGAAAGGAGGATCACTTGAGTTCGAGGCTGCAATGAGCTATGATCACACCAAGGTACAAACAGTCCAGGCAACAGAGCAAGACCTTGTTTCAATCAATCAATCAATAAATAAAATAAAATCATCTAAATTTCATCAGAAGCTAAAACAAATTCAAAATGGTAGGTTGAAAGCATGCATTTATCTCCACTCCTAAAAACTCCATTAAATTATTATTTATTCTTCACATATACTACTTACTAAGCATTTACTACATGATTATTTGAAGTATATTAACTAATAGAATCCTCAACACTCAAGTAGGTGATGAACCCCATTTTACAGATGAAGAAAATGAATCACCAGCGCTTAAGGAAGTTGCTCAAGTTTTCACAGCTAATCAGTGGCAGGACCAGAATATAAATCTAGGCAGTCTGACTCCAGAATCTGTGTACTACTCCTCCTTAGACCAATGATCAAGGAAAAGCAAACCTCTGAAGGAAAAGAAGAAGAGAGAGACAGATTAGAAGAGTCAACAAAATTTTAGAAGATGAAAAACAAACGAATGAGTAATAACTGACCTAGATAGAGAATACTGAGTGTTGCAGATGGCAGGACACTGCAGAACCCCCTCCAAAATTCAACCATTGGAGGCACCAGTTTCCTCAGAAGATGCTAGCATGAGGAGGATCTGAAAACAGAAAAGTACTGGTCCCCTCCCCAGGCAAGCAACTGCTCCATCACTGCCCTAGCAGAAGACTGAAAATTTACTCTTTGGATAGGATGAACTAGAGACTCTAGACTTGGATAACCAAGGCACTACTGAAGACATGGAAGTAGCACTATTCACAGGGATTAAGTGAAAGTCTTTGCATACAACAGGGAGAGCCCCCAGTCCCTTCCCGCCATAAGGTCCCCAGAATAACAGCCAGACTTATACAACTAGGAAGAAGCCTGAAGGAAGATCTATGGACTCTGAACATATCCCATGAAAAGGATAAGCCCATCACCCTACAGCCATGGCTCTCAGAGTGTAGTTTCCCACCAGGAGTAGTATCACTAGGGAACCTGTCAGAAATGTAAATTCTTGGGCCCAGGCCAGACATAATGAATCAGAAATTCTGGGGTGAGGCCCAAAACCAGTATTTTCACAAGGCCAAGAGTTGATTCTAAAGCCTGCTAAAGTTTGAGAACCACTGCCCTACAGGGAGGCCCACTATAAACCAACCCACACCAAAAAGCTTCCAACCAGCTTTTCAGTGCCTGTTTATTTGAAAAACAGACGGGAATCACCAGATATTTTAGGAAAGACTCTATTAAGAAAAAGAGAGACCAAAACAGATTTCACAGAGCAGCTCTGGTAGGGAGTATGTGCCAAAGCCTGGTTTCCTTGCCTTTTCCCGGCCGCCACCCTCACATTGCTACTGAGTTACTCCTCAGGCTATACAGAATAGTTTTAAAACCAATGAAATAAATGCTATCTACAGTCCTGTCCAGCTCTAGCTTTGGCCTTTATACTGGTCCTTATGTCCTAGATCCTTGAAATTAACACAGCAATTCAAACTGGACCCTCTCAGTTGAACTATGTCAGATAATTTACTTGTCCTTTTGAATGAACAAAAAGGATTTTAGTGGAAAAATCATATAAGCATTTTTCTGCTTCAAGTTTGCTATATTCTGTACTTGCATCAGATGCAGAAGCAAAATGTACTATAATACTTTAATTTATGTAGAAGTATCTGTGACTCTGCCATGTCCTTTTTTCTTCTGTCTTACCAGCTTTCCCTGGCTCACCCTTTACAGACTAAATCTTAATCCAAAAAATCTCCCCTATTACTGCTTTTCACCAGTCTCTTCTCAAACCAAGTGTTTCCACCACAACCAGATCTTTCTTTTAGTGGCATCGACATCTATCACCATGTAATCACTGTTGACAGAAACTTCTCATTTATTTTTACTTCCTCTGCCTCCTTTAGTCCAGCTCAGTTTTCTCAATCCTCTTGGTTCTCCTCACCCATCAGAGAAGACCCTGCCCCTTCTTGGGCCATTTCACTCCTCTCCTAGAAAACCAACCTCTGTACCTGCTCTTGATCATTGAAGGTAAAAAGCAAGAAAAAAAAAAAAAGAGAGAGAAAACCAACCTCCGTCAGGAGGCACTTGGAGTGATGAAAAAATTTTGCCAGATATAATGCAAAGAATACCACAAATTTTCTCATTTAACTCTCAACACTAATACTGCAAATTAAGAATCATCCCTATTTTTACCTTTGGAAAACCGAGGCTTAGTGAGAGATTAAGTAATTTGCTCAAGGTTACAACTAGGATTTTAATCCAAATCCTTCTGTCTCCAAAGCCATACTCTTAACTATCCTACTCTACCACCTCCAGAGGTCTGACTCAAATATGTGGAAAAAGAAAAGTTCCCTTAACCACATAAAAATTAGAAAAGCAAACAGATCTCTGAATAGTGCTTTGTTTTGTTTTGTTTTTTTAAACAGGGGATCACTCACACATGCTGAGAGCCTTCCAGCCAGAGCCCAACAGGGAACACCACTTGCAGCATCATCTCCCCAACTGGAGCACATGGCTCAGCAGCACAGCTTGCGTCTCTAGTAGGAAAGGACCCAAAGCACAGGAGGAAAGGTGGCTCTTATGACCAGAATGCTGCTGGGGAACAGGTGCTCAAGATATCTTCCCTTCTTGATGTCAGCATCCCTCTCTCCACACAGCCCAGCCACACAGCCCAGCCTCTGGGACCTTTGTCGTAGTGGTGGTGGTTGGTGCCTTCCAATGTGGGGCAGAGTACCTTCCCACCTCAAAAATTTCCAAGATCAAATTTTGAAAGCTCTTTAGAGACAAAGTAGTAATCTAACAATCAAGGGCAAGCAATGACTTCTAAGGAGAAACCTTCTGTTCTACAACAGCACAGCCAACTTCGAGGGCCACAAAGAAATGTCTACGATGACAAGAGAAGATGCTTCAGTGGTGCATCAGAATGTAGAGCTAGCCACCGCCCCTTCCTCCGTAGAGGGGCTGTTAAGTCCATTTTCTCTTTTCTGTGAGACAGAAAAGGAACGCGGGCACCCCAATGTCTCCCACTCCAAGGGCCTAAGCAGCGCACCTCTCAACCTTTCCTTCCAAGGGCTGAAAGGCGGTTCCTCTTCTCCTCCCCACTCGGCCCCAATCACCCTCTCCTACTCGGTCCCTCTCCAACCTTTTCCCTCTGCCCTTCTCCCCGCTCGACCGCCTTTCCCCTGTCCTCCGCCCCTCTTCTCTCCCCGCTTGGCCCCTTTTTCCTCAGTCCGCAGCTGCAGCCCATCCCGCGGTACCTTGAGCGTCACGTCGCACAACTTGCCCTGCCGCCGGATCTCCTCCATGACGCCGTAGCCGCGACTAGGCAACTCGGACACCGAGAAGTGCACCAGGTCCTCCAGCTCCTCCGCGCCGTCCTCCACCATCTTCCCCGGCCGCCGCAACTGCGCAGGCCTGGCCGGCCGGCTCCACACTAACCAAGGCGGGGCGAGGGAGCACGCCGACAGCCGCTCAGAGCGCGGAGCTGGAATAGGACGGGCCTGCGCGGCCGCCGTAGTGGCAAACGCCTCTGCGCCGGAAGCCCTGCTGCCCCGGTTCCTGGTTCATAGGCAGCCGGTCTTTCCTCGCTTCCCCGACCTTGGCTCCGCGCATGCAGCTGCTGCAGTCTTTCTAGATTAACAGGCCCCATCTCTCGTCTTCTCAATTGTACCATGACCTTACCCGTATCCTAGAAGTAGGACCTCGGACTTCGTTTCCGCCACCCCCAACACTTCCGGAATGCCCGGAAGGGGCCCGTTGCCATGGCGACTTTGTACACAGCCAGGCGGCCTTGCGTGGAGAAATCCAGGTCGCGTGCTGGATTTGGGTATCTGCAGTTGAGGCTGTCGCGCTCTGGGAGCTCCGCTGCCTCGCGAGTGGTGAGCAGGGGCCGCGCGCCAGTGGGGGTAGGGAGAATAGAGACCGGAGAGGGGTGTGCGCCCGGACGGCTGACGGTGGCTGGGGCCGGAACAACCGCTCTATTCGGGAGTTCCTGGTTTGGCTCGCTTCTCTGCTAAACCCAGGCGTAGTAGGGCGCGACGTTGCGGAGGCCCTTTCAGCCTGGCCGCAACTTGAGGTCTTTGGAGCTAATGTTCCTTGACCCTACGAGAGTCCCACGTCGCGCCCAGGACACAGAGGACATAGGGGGCGTGAGGCAAGGGGCCAGAAGTCGTCTGGACTCTTCTGTACTCGACAGTTTTCGAACTGGAGGGGGCTTCGGGATCACCAGTCCGAGCCCTTCGCTTTACAGATGAGGAAACATCTCCAGAGAGGGACGGGAATGGGCTCAAGGCCTACTGCCGCCCAGGCTCCACACAGGGGTCCAGCACATTGGGTGAGAAAAAAAAAAGGCTAGTTTGCCAAGATCCCAGACGTGTTCAGCCCAAGGCCAGGTACAGCTCGACCCTATATTTTGGGTTCAGGTGCTGCTGCTGCAGTTGCGGTAACTGTAAGGGTTCCCCTTCAGAACTCCTGGTCTGGCAGGAGAGCTGGAAGGTAGGGACCTACCTGGTGCTTACTGTACCACCAAATGCTCCCCCTCTTCTTGTCAAGCTTTGAAGATTGCTTGGTGGCAATTCTGTTCATTTCCACCCCTAAAGTGAGGAAACCGGGGGCCTCTCAGCACGGAGGTCTCCTGGTGACCTTTCAGAGTCTCACTTTGTTATACTGCAAACATTTAAGGGTGGTTCCCAAAATAGAGAGGCCTTCACCATAAAGTCTTGAGGGGGAAAGACTCTACTAAAGGGAGGGTGTGATGAGGGACTGAACATGACTTCTTGGGCCTGGAAACCAGGTGTTCTCCTGGAAGGGCTGTGGCCTCTGGGGTTGGAGGTGGTGTGGGAGGAGAGTGACATCATATGCCCCTTGGGACTTTCTCAGTAGTGACTGAAGATGGACCCACACATGGAGATTCAGCTGCCCTCTGACTTCCAGCCATGACCATCACCACCAACCACCATTTCTTGAGCATCTTCTCTGTGCTGGGCATTATTCTGGACATTGTGGGTGGATTCAAAAGAGATAAAAGGCACAGTCCTTGTCCTCAAGCAGCTTGTAATTTAATTTGGGAGCCGAAACCCACTCAAATGAAGCGGCATAAAAACAGTAACAAGCAGTATTCCAGTAAGTGCAAAATGGCATGGGGTCCCTAAATGTCTTGGTGTTGAGAAGCTTCTGAGTAGCAGGCTCACAGGAGGGATGTGGTTCTTAGGGAAGGCTTATTGTAGGTGGATATGGCTCCTGGCATGTTTGGAGCCATGGTGTAAGCAGGGGAGGGACTTGGGATGGTTAGTATACATGGAGTGACTGCACGTGCATGTTGGCAAATTGTAGGACAGAGAAGAGGCAGGCTCAAGAGGGAGGGCAATGCTTTGAGCTGGCCTATACTGCTTTGTTGATGGGCAGGGACTTTAGCGAGGGAGGGTTGTGCACCTGCTCCCAGAGCTCCCCCTCTTCTTCATGGTCCCTTTAGAGGGCAGCCTGGGTGGCATCTGAATTTCCCCAGGCAGGAGGATGGGCCTTGGGGGCTGGTGTGAGGAGTGGTTCCCAGAGCTTTAGAAATTGAGTATCAAAACACACTTCCCGCAAAAGAGTGAGACTCTTGTCTGAAAAAAAAAAAAAAAAACCACACTTCCTCTAGTCCCAATTTCCCAATAGCATAGATCAAAATGAACTTGTAGGTGTTCTCTTCAGTTTGGGATTCATGTGAGAGCTGTTTGTGTTTATTTCCAGAGCTAAATTTTGCAGGCAAAAATTTAGGAGTTAAATTGGACAAGCCATTATCCTTGCTCACCCCAATATCTTTCAGATTCATTTTCTAAAAATCAAAAGGTCTGAATGATCCTATAGTGGCTAGGAAAAGACTTCCATGAAACAATGACTTGAGGAAAGTGTGAAATGTACGCACATTCTGCAATAGGCAAATATGTAAGTGCTATATTTACTTATTTAATTTGACATCTGAAGGGCTTGTAACAAGTGTCAAGAGTTTTGTTTCATCCACATCATTGAAACTAAGCTGAGAGGGCAGGACCTGTCTCTATTTAACTTGCTCTTATAGGCCGGGCATGGTGGCTCATGCCTGTAATCCTAGCACTTTGGGAGGTCGAGGCAGGAGGATCACTTGAGCTCAGGAGTTCAAGACCAGCCTGAGCAAGAGCGAGACCCTGTCTCTTTAAAAAAAGAAAAAAAAAGTCTAACTTACTCCTGTAGAGATACTTAATACCCCTTAATGATAGCTGATATAATTGTGAAAGGAAATCAAGTGGTCACCACAAGCTGTGTCTGGAAATATGGAAGGACATGAATATTTTAAAAACCTAAAGTAATTTTTGTCAGGTCACACTTATTTAACCTCTCAGATAATTACATGTAAAATGTTACTGCTCTTTGTTTATTTAGTGTGCTTTTTATAAAAGCAAAATAATTTAATTCAAAGAAGAAATTGCTATAATGCATGATTTTTTTTTTATCATAAACGTCTTAAAAGTTAGTTTTTGGCCAGGTGCGGTGGCTCACGCCTGTAATCCTGGCTCTCTGGGAGGCCGAGGCGGG